ATCAAACACTAGAATCGTTCATCGCTGAGATGCGCAAGATGCTCCATCTCAGCGACGACTATGCCATCACACCCGCCGTGCGCACCGACGAGCTGGGCCTTGACTCTCTCGTCGCCGTCAGAATCCGATCCTGGTTCCTCAACAACTTCCAGGTCAACATCCCTGCGCTCCGAATTCTCAAGGGCGAAGCACTCCAAGGCCTCATCGACCACGCTGTGGAGGAGATACCGGAAGAGCTGGCACCCAAGCTGTTCTCCTCTTCGCAGTCTGAGGACACCTCGCCATCCTCTGAGGAATCATCCCAAAAGTCTGGAACACCACCTTCGACCGCTCCCGAGACAGAGAACTCATCAGTAGTCAACGGCGATCTCGGAATCAAGGAGGAGAAAGAGGCAAGACCTCTGGAAGTTCAGTTGGAAAGGTTCGGGCGCTTGTCTTACACCCAGTCAGTATTCTTGTTCGTGCACGAGCTCTTGCCTGACAAGACCACTCTGAACAACACAGTTATGCTTCATCTTAGCGGCGAAGTGCGCATTCCCGATCTCTCCCGCGCTGTCCGAGCCCTGGGAGAACGCCACGAGTCGTTGCGTAGCTGTATCTGCGAGCGCGACGGCCAGCCTAGTCAAGGAGTCATGAAGACCCCGTCGTTCGCCCTCGAGCACAAGAGGATCTACACGAAGAATGAGCTTTTCGATGAGTACGCAGCACTTCGAGGCCATGTCTTCGACCTTAGCCGAGGCGATACCAGCCGGACGATCCTACTCTCATACTCGCCACGGGATCACTACCTTTTGATGAGTTCTCACCACATCTTTTTCGATCGAGCTAGCAATGACGCCGTCATGGGCGATCTCGAGCGACTGTACAACGGATATTCCCTCGAGCCGAACCCTCTCCAATACCTCGATTACTCTAACGACCAGCAAAGACAGTACTCATCCGGAGAATGGGACGAGGCCATCAACTTCTGGCGCCACGAGTTCACCACTATTCCCAATCCTCTATCCCTCCATCGCAGCCAGATCTCTGAGCGACAGCCTCTTGAGCGCTACGCCTCCCGCATCCCAGACTTCCGCATCGATAAGCAGCTCTCGGCAAAGATCCGTCAGGTAGCAAGGAAGTATCGTGCCACGCCGTTCCACTTCCACCTCGCCGCCTTTAAGGTCTTCTTGCACAGATTCCTCGGCACCACCGACGTGTGCATCGGCATTGCAGACAGCTGCCGCAGAGACGACCAAATGCGCACCGGTATCGGCCCGTTCCTCAACATGCTGCCCCTACGCATGGCCGCCAGCGCGGAGCAGCCCTTCCTTAGTGCTTTGGACGAGGCGCGGGAGAAGAGCTTCGCTGTTCTTGCTAACTCCATCCCACTCGAGGTCATCCTGAATGAGCTCCGCATCTCACGTCAGGCTACGCATACACCCTTGGCACAGGCATTCATGAACTATGCCGAGAATGACCTTGAAGACGGCCAAACATTCCTCGGGTGCCGGATGACAATGATGAAGCAGGAAATGGCCGAGCTTCCTTACGACATTACCTTCACCGTGATCAACAACACCACTGGTGACACGCGCATCCTCTTGAACTTGCAGGAGTCCTTGTACACGGATTCTGACGCGCAGATCTTGCAGCACGGATATGAGGATATTCTCCGTGAGTTCGCCAACGCGCCGGAGCAGGCAGTTGGTAGCACTTGGCATTTCAGACCTGCTGTTCTGCAGAAGGCTCTTACATTGGGACGCGGTTAGTTCACCAAGCAAAGGTATCTTGACTCTACATCAGATTACTAACATCGATGCAGGCTCGACTTTCAACTCATCTTGGCCCGAGACCCTCATTCATCGATTCGACAGCTTCTTCCCGACTGCCGGGGAGAGGGTTGCCGTCACCGATCACGCTGGTGGCTCGATCACCTACGCACAACTCTCTACTAAGACAAATGCGATTGCATCGGAACTCCTTCGTCAAGGTGTGCAGCCCGGCTCGACAGTCGCTATCTTCCAGCACCCGTCAACTTGGTGGATACCTTCTCTCCTCGCGATCCTCAGAATTGGAGCTGTCTATGTCCCGCTCGACGTCAACACGCCAGTTGCAAGACTATCCCTGATCGTGTGCGACAGCCAACCATCCTCAATCCTAGTTCACGACTTGACAAAAGACGACGCAGCCAAGCTGGAGTCGGAGAGAGGCACATCTCTAGTCAACGTGTCAGCTTTGGAAGAGTCGAGGGAGGAAGAGGTTCCCAACCTCGCTCAACCAGACGCACCAGCCATCATCCTGTACACCAGCGGCTCAACAGGAACCCCGAAGGGAGTCATCTTACGCCATAGCAGCTTGAAGCACGAGTTCGATCACTGCGCGGCGACCTATCAGCTGAACCAAGATGATGTCGTTCTCCAGCAGAGCGCTTGGAGCTTCGACCTATCCGTGACGCAAATCTTCCTGGCCCTTGGCGTGGGAGCCCAGCTGCACACGGTGTCTCACACTCTGCGCGCTGACTCGCACGCGATGGTCGAGCTTATCAAGAGTCAGGGTGTGACAGTCACCTACGCGACTCCAACTGAGTACAAGAGTTGGCTGAGGCGCGAAAACCAGGCCACATTGCGGTCCTCGTTCTGGCGTCTGGCTTTGGTCGCCGGAGAAGCCGTCACTGAGCCGCTTCTACAGCTCTTCCGTGAGGTAGATCGCGAGGTTCTCCGTCTCTTCAATGTCTACGGTCCCACAGAGACAACATGTGGATCTACCAAAATGGAGCTGTCGTACCGTGAGCCTGGATTTTATCAGGGAACCATCCCCGTTGGAGTGGCATCCGCAAATGAGCGGTTCTACATCCTGGACGCTAGTCTGAACCTTCAGCCAGTTGGCCAGACGGGTGAGATTGCCATCGGTGGAGTTGGTGTTGCCAAGGGCTACTTGAATATGGATGAACGGACTCGAGCATCCTTCTTGCCAGATCCCTTCGCAACTGAGGATGATTCAAAGCGCGGATGGACAACAATGTACCGAACAGGCGATGTCGGATACTTGCAGCCCAATGGCACTCTCGTTCTGAAGGGACGCATTGGAGACGACACAGAGATCAAGCTTAACGGTGTGCGTATTGATTTGAAGGACGTGGAGAATACCGTCGTGCAAGCTTCCAACGGTCTTCTCGCCGACGCCGTGGCGTCTCTTCGCAGCACATCTGACGGGTCGGTCAAGTTCATGGTCGTCCATGTCGTTTTCTCGAGCGAGAGCCTGACCGGTTCCACGAGCAAGTTCCTCAAGAAGCTTCTCGCAGAATTACCATTGGCACGAAACATGTGCCCCTCGGCCCTCATCCCGATTGATTCGCTTCCCAGAACGGTAGCTGGCAAGGTCGACAGACGCGAAATCGCTTCCTCGCCAATCTCGCAGGGACTATTACATCGCGCTGAGCATGATGTGTATAGTTCCGAGGGATCAAAGAGACTGTCAATGGCCGAGAAGACACTCCAGAGCTATTGGGAACTTGTGATCCCTGAAGAGCTGGTTGGACTGCACGACATCGAAGCGGATTCCGATTTCTTCACCATCGGAGGTAACTCTCTTCTCCTGATCGAACTTCAGGGTCGGATTCGTGCGGATCTCGGCATCTTCATCGCACTGCCCAAGCTCTTCCAGGCTACTACCCTGAGGTCGATGGCCCGGCTTCTGCCCGGCATTGGCGATGCGGAGCCGGAGCTCGAGAACCAGATCGATTGGGCAAGCGAGACCGCACTGCTGTCAGGGAATATTGTTTCTAAGCGAGACACTGCTGAGCCTGTTGCGAAGCTCCCTCGCACTGTTATCTTGACTGGAGTTACTGGCTTCCTCGGCCAGTACCTTGCCAGATCCCTCGTTGAGAACGAGAACATCGAGAAGGTCATCTGCATAGCCGTCAGGAACCCTAAGGACCAATATCGCCAAGATCTACTCTCTCAGCTTGAGCCAAAGGCAGAATTTTATGAAGGCGACTTGAGCTCGCCCCGCCTCGGTCTCACGGAAGAAGCAGCCCTTCGCATTTTCCAATCCGCCGATGCGGTGATCCATAACGGCGCGGACGTCTCGCATCTCAAGAGCTACCCTTCCCTCCGCGCTGCAAACCTCGGTGCAACGCAAGAGCTCGTTCGGCTGTGCAGTCCCCGGCAGATCCCGCTGCACTATGTGTCCACCACGGGTGTTGCCATGTACACCCCCTTCAAAGCGCTGGCTGAGGTCTCGGTCCGCGAACATATGCCCCCGGCCGACGGCAAACACGGCTACGTCGCATCCAAGTGGGCCAGCGAGGCATATCTCGAGAACGTTCACGCAGAAAGCGGTCTGCCGATCTACATTCATCGTCCGTCGAGCATCGTGCGTCCCGAGGCCGACAGGACCGGCGAGAACCCGGCTGCTGATGTTCTGCAGAACATGCTCGATTACTCACGGCGGGTACGCGCCGTGCCGGCCGCGCCGGGTCTGAGCGGCTTTGTCGACTTGGTGAAGCCGGAGACAGTCACCAGTGGGGTGGTGGGTGCCGTCATGTCTGGGTCTCAGGAGGATGGAGTTGTGTACATCCACGAGTCTGGTGACTTAGAGTTGGACGTAGGCCAGATAAGAGAGTATTTGGAGACTGAGACGGGAGAAGCCGTTAATGTATTGGCTCTGGATGAGTGGATTGATTGTGCGGAGGAGATTGGCCTGTCGCCTGCTATGGCTGCCGTGTTCCGGAGTTCGCTGGGATCTGGGGAACCGATGAATCTCCCGAAGTTGCTGAGGCGATGATTTATTACATGGAGTTTACTTGGAGTTCTGATTGTACCGTATGTTCTTCGTCGTCTTTGGAGTCATTGGACTGTTGCACATTACCTATCATAAAATAGGGGTCTTCCATGTTGTGAAGATTCATGCCTTCCCTTCAACTTGGTGTAAGCATAACATCATTGCGAGTCTCGAGATTGAAACATCACTCTTTCAGGCCAGTACTGAGTCGAATCACGGTTTCGCTGACTTGCGTCTCACGCAGTATCACATGCCCAGACCTTGATGGGGTCAATAACTGACTACATGTACTTTATCTGCTCACTTGGACTTCCATGCCATGTCGTGCGAATCTTTCACAGTCAAGTGCTATTTGTCTACCCTGGCTGATTGCTTGTTTCTCTCCACCTCACCTATGTTGTGGCCGTTTAAGCCTTCTCTCCTGGACAGAGTCTTGCGATATTTGAGGCCTGGATCCATCAAGACTGTGGGATGACACATCCGACGCTGTCACTACATATACTTTCGGCTCAGCTGTTGGAACTTCCTCATCCTCCGATCTATCATCCTTCGCAACCCCCAAGAAGACAAATTTGTAAGCGCTGCGCAGTAAACAATACAGCCAGAACAGGTTCAGTGCCTGCAACAAAGCCAAGAGGCCAAAGGTGATGACGTTCGACAGAGGACACTTGTACTGCTCAGTCTCCCAATTGAGCTCATATGGCCCAACGGTACTAAACTCGGATCCAGGCAGCGCAGAGTAGAGAATCCGCAAGTTGATGTAGTGCCGGAGGTAGATCCACACCGCTATACACACACCAAACGAGACCCCTTGAAGCTTATTGTCGAGATAATTCAGCGACTTCGACACTGCCAGGAAGAAGTCGCTGATATCGTGTGTTATGTACACCGCAATGCCCATATACGCGAAATGGAAGCGATAACTCAGCGCAACGAGCGCAACCGTGACGACGTGGTGCGCGACAAGCTCATGGAAGTCCTTGCGTCGCTGCTCCAAGCCCAGCACCATCACCACCACCTGCTGCGCCCAGAACGCTGCCTGGAGGAGGTAGTAGCACTTGAAGCTGGCGTCGTGCGTGCGGTGCGGGAAGTCCTCGTACATCCCATGGGTATCGAAGTACCACACTGGCGTAAGGCTCATGACGTGCAGGCCCCAGGGCCCGATGAAAGTCACGTAGAGTGCCGTGTACATGTTCTCCGCGAAGCGTGCACGCTTGGCGCGAGACTTGATGCCCCATGCGCGAGCGAGGGGTGTCAGGAGCTCTTGCATGAAGACTTCGCGGGTGAAGGTGAGGAATATCGTGTAGAAAGCAACGAAGGCGATGTCCCACGGCCCCTTGCCATACTGTGTCGTCCCCGCGCTGTTATTGTCGAGCTTGTAGGAGGGGAATATGAAGTGGTGCGTCCGGTTGGAATCGGATGGGTTGACGGCGTAGAGGGAGAGAATCGCAATTGTGAGGAACAAGGGAAGCGCCCAGGTCCGACGGCGCATGAGAGCGAAAGCTCTTGTCTTCCTGCGTTTCGAGTAGTTCTTTGTCTGGCGGTTGTTTAACATCTGGGGCGGGACTTGAGCGCTTGGCTGCAACTCCATGTAGTTTGCGCCCATGTTGTAAGAGATCGTGGGGTTTGAGGTGTCGGCGGGAGTTCGTGAAGTGCTTCGTCGTCGCGATCGTTTGGTCGTCGTACTACTGGTAGATTCGACTTGTCAAATGACACCTTAGCTTCCGATCATTGATCCCCTTGTCCAAGGGAGACAGTGAAGGTTGGGTGCAGGTCTGTCTTCAGAACTCCTCGTCTCACACCTCCACGATGCGCAAAGAAAAAGAGTCTCAGGACTCGAGATCATGAGGGGACCAAATAATTTGAGCGGGCGTCCCCAACGCAGGCAGTCCAGGCGCAATTAGAAAGCTGTCCGTCTTGGGATAGCTTAATGCAGGGGCTACTGTTGGTCGGTGTGTGTGACACACAATTAATCAAATGGGGGCGTCAGCAGAAGTCCAGAAGGGGAAGATTGTTTTCCTTATCCCGTTTGAGGACGTAGTTGGGGTTTTTAAGTAAGGATTTATGGGAGACAATCCATATAGCGCGTCTTCTACGAGATGTCATTTCAGCTCCGCGAGCACTCTTACATCCGCGTCTAAGTTGTGACCTCCGAAATTCTGTATTGAGAGGTTTCTCAGCTGGATTTGGTGAACATGCGAGTGTCCATGTCTCGGCAGCCTCCAATCACAGGATTAGGACCCACGTTTCCAACGGTCGCTGCCACTCGCCATCCCCGCCATACCCTGGTGGATAATGTAATTGTTGCGGGAGGCTGAGGAATGAAAAAGGGGGAGAGAGTCGAACTGGACGATTGAGACGCGTATGAGTTTTTTTACCCTCCGATTCGGAGGGTTTATGTCGTCATATTGCTCCGAACGGAGCGGGTCTCGCTCGGTCCCGATTCATGAGGGGACGGGAGCTGCACACCGCCTCCAGCCAATGCTGCTGCCAAATGAGACCTCTTGGAAGCTCATCAATCGTGGTCGGAGTGGTACGTGAGAGCTAACATCACTTTCCATTGTATTGGAGGGCAATTGTTGAAACTGGGATTCGAAAGAATCACAAATCCTTGCCACGGCGCCATGGGCATGCCGGAGTTCCACGATGTGAACGGAGAGAAAACACGAGTACCAGAATAGGATCTAGCAAGTTTTGTGTCATGAACTGGGCAAATGGAGTTTATTATGTCTGTGAGTCTTGGCCAGCCAACGAAGCGTATCATCGCCACAGCCCTCCCTCAATCAATCTGTTTCTCGCAGCCAATTCTGTTGAGCAACTCCTTCCGGCCACTGTGCGTCCTAACGCCACTCACCCTGGAGCTCGAAGGCTCCTTCCGGGAAGAGGACCTATCCCAAGCCTTCAGGTCAATAGACTCCACGCCGACATCCTCCTCAATGGCCTCGATCTCCTCATACTCAATTTTCTCCTCTTCTTCTTCCTCGTCATCAACGTCACTCCTAACATCTTCGGCGGGAGCCCCTTTGAGCACTCTCACTGAGACACGAATGATGAAGAATGACCACGCGCAGATGACAAGCTCGAGCGCGAGGAGAAAGGTCAAGAAGCCATATCGAATGCCGTTGGTGAAGCATACCGTCCCTGCTGGGTCCTTGAACGGCTCGAGGAGATGGGACCAGCCCTCCTTAGGTGCCGAAAACGGGCCTTCAATATCGCTGGGAGCGCCTCGGAAGCATGGCTCTTTTAGAGATCGGGGTAGGTCGTAGTAGACGCTCCAGCAGGTCATGAGGTAGAATACGTGGCGCGTCCAGACCCAGACCAAGAGGAAGACACCAAAGATAACGTCGCAGAGGGTCGTGAAGCCGATGTACTTCAGGCACTTGGCCAGCTATCGTGACTGTTAGCAGGTGGCTTGGTGCGCGGTGTCAACTCAAGGAGGACTAACTGGGAAGATTAACTCAATGACGTCCATTAAGACCAGGATGAGATGGCCGACGCGGGTTTGGTGATACGCGTAGCATGCGGCAATGAGTGAGATGGTGATGGCATGGTGCACAATCATCTCCCAGTAATCCTTGCGCCGCGCCTCAATGTTCACCGAGATGACCTGCTGGACCCAGTATGCCCATTGCACCATGATATATCCCTTCATCAAGCCGTCGAGCTCTCGCTGTGGCCAGTTATTCCACAGCTCCTTCATGTTGAGGTAGTATGGCGCCTTGCAATAGAGATACTAGGGACTCGCCGGTTAGTCGACAATGTGCCCACGGAATGAAAATGCAAATCTACTGTACCATTCCCACTGGCCATAGGACACTGTAGTACGTGAGCATCGAGCCCTGTTCCGAAAACCTGGCAACATCCTTCTTCTTCGATATGCCCCAATGCCGGCCGAGGGGCTCAAGAACGTGGCGCATCAGCGCGGCCCGAATGCCGATGAGGAGAACCACGCAAAACGCGACAAAGTAGAGGTCGTCGTGGCCGGCGCCATACTTGCCGGTGGTCGTATTGTAATATGAGAGTTTGATGAACTTGGATGTATACGGACGCGCCGCGGGGATGCAAATGTGTGTGAGGAGTAGAGGGGCAGTTGTATGGAAGGCAAGGTCTGTTCAATTAGAAGACTTCAGGTCAGCATTGACTTGTAGGACGAATGGGTGTAATGCACAGCAATAATAGAGGTGGTCAGCTTCCCCTCCACACTCTTCGCGACGTACGTGTCTGGTTGTCAAAGAGCCATTGGACGAACTTCTTCCTCCGGCTCGAGTCAATGATCTTTAACTTTTGTGAGTGACCAAGCCTAGGCGCCATGGATGCGACGGGCGAAGCGCGCTCCGTATGCGCGATCTTGGTGGTGGGTTCGATCATGGTACTTGTCACGCAGTCGAGGCGAAGCGAAGCGAAGCTCAGCTTTCCACGAGAAGATGCCGAGGCGAGAAAGAATCAAACAGTATGTTTCTCGAGCAGAAATTTGTGTGACAAAACTGTTGAGAAAGTGCCCGTAAGCGCGAGTCGCTTAAAGAAGTAACAGTAACAATATTTCCCTGCCGGCAGCCCCCTCCCCTTCCCCCAACAGGGCGAGACCAAAGCTGCCAGCTGAGCAGGTTGGACCCTTTCTTCGCGCCTCGCAGGGGGCGGTGAGACAAGGCGGCGGGAATGCAGGGATGTTCATATTTGGGCGGGCGGGATCTTGGAACTGGCGGCCGTTAAGATCTCTGGCATTTTCCAACTTTTAAGTGTGTTTGCCCTAGGGCAACCTGCATGTCTGCATCTTGAAGTCGCCCGTGGAACAATAGGGCTGAACTTTAGAGACTTCCATCAGGGTTGATGCCAAGTACCTGTCGCAAACTACAAGCGATCACAGCGACCTATGTGTTAGATTTCACTTCTCAATGACATTCTCGATTGTCAACTGACCGCAAAAAAACAAAGATACAAAGCATGCAGGACTCAGGGGAAATCAGCATCAGGCCATCCCCGCACCAATCAGGATAGGCTGACATGGGTCCTTGTCATCCTGCCATCGCCCCAGGTCCGCAGATTGCTTTCGCCGGTGGATCATGAGGCTTAGCTATCCGTAGGCCCGCGGGAACCCGAACCAACAGGATGAAAACAGTCTCGACAAAATTACAGAGATCTTGTTCTCTCATCCTTGCTCTAAGAAGCTGATGTGCGCCGATACCTTGGCCTTCTCAGACCCGAACAAGCGTTCGTACTCTTCAACAGTGTGTGGCAGCTCATAGACTCTTAAGATCGCATACTTTGGAGGGTAAGACTGTTTGCCAAAGTCTGCTAGTAATGTGAGTATACGCCTCAAGATAAGGTTGACATGCAGCAAGGTCTAGGGAGGTAGCATCGGCAAATAAAAGTGCACTTTGCCTGCGATATCCCCTCCAGCTGTGGAAGTCCTACCGGCCGAGGGCTCCGGGCAGTACGAGGCGACGAACGGAGCCGCGACCCACCTTGCCCGAGTGAGAGGATGATGAATCGCTGCATCCAGCGGATCTTCGGGGATCCACACCTCCGGGGACCGATGAGCTTCGCCGGCCGCGGGGAGGCGGTATGCCTGGAACTCACGCCACGCTGCTGTCGCAATCATCCTACAAGCCGGCTGAAGAGAAGAAGTACTGAGAGACATGATGTGTGCGATGGGTTGTCTTTCTTTTCCGGCTTTTATGGACACACGGAGCGACCAGATTGTGTACGGGCCGCTGGTGGTGCCCGGTCGGGGTCTAGCGGGGAATCGGCGACAGTAATATACGGCGTTCAATGCTCGCCGAGGTAACCCGATATCACCCGCCAAGTCATAAGTTGTGTCGCATGAGCCAGTTTTCTTAATGATGTGTTCTCTCATCGCTCTACCTCATCACCCACATGCTTCTCTCGAAGTCGCCTCCTTCGCGCTCGTGAATATCGCAATGGCTGCCGCATGTCCTGCTACATTGGCTCCAGCCAACATGCAGAAACCGGAAGGCCTGGATCTCTATGCTCGATTCGCGCTCGCCGGTGCTTTGGGTTGCTCCATAACTCACGCTGTCTTCACACCCGTCGATGTGTACGTCGTCTCATTACCCTTTTCCTCACATGTCATACTCACCCACAATGCCACAGTGTCAAGACGAAGATACAGCTTGACCCAGCAACCTATAACCGTGGCATGGTTGCAGGTTTCCGCCAAGTAATACGCAACGAAGGGGTCGGTGGTCTACTGACAGGCTTGGGCCCAACGTTCACCGGCTACTTCATCCAAGGAGGCGTCAAATTTGGACTCTATGAACTCTTCAAGAAACAATCAATTGAGATCATTGGACTCGAGAAAGTGAGAAGGAATCGTACTGCAGTCTACTCCGTCTCGGCAGCCTGTGCTGAGTGTTGCTCTGCCGTCACACTTTGTCCCGCGGAAGCTACTCGCATTAGACTTGTGTCCGTGCCTGGTTTCGCCAACGGATTGATAGGTGGGTTCAGCAAGATCTTGAAGCATGAGGGTGTTGGCGCATTATACTCTGGATTCGGCCCCATCTTGTTTAAACAGTAAGTTGTATTCCAGTACTTCATGAGCTGGGTTGCTGTACGTACTGAGATCAGCAAAGAGTTCCATACACGGTTACAAAATTTGTCTCATTCGAAAAGATTTCCGAGTTCTTCTTCGCCCGTCTCGATAACGCCAAGACCGGCACTACCCAGCTCATGATCAACATGGGATCCGGCCTCTTATCAGGTTGTGCAGCTGCCATCATCTCGCAACCAGCCGACACGATGTTGTCTAAAATCAACAAGACGAAGGGGTTGCCCGGCGAAAGGACTGCGTTTCGTCTTTACAAGATTGCGGGCGAGCTCGGATTCCGTGGTTCATTCGCCGGGCTCCCGGCACGTCTGTTCATGATTGGTGGGCTCACCGCTGGCCAATTTGCCATCTATGGCAGCATCAAAACGGCTCTCGGTATAGGCGTTCGACTTTCTTTTCATGGCTTAGCTGACTATAGGCATTTAGGTGCTACTAATGGTGTGGAGATCTCAAAGTGATCGGGATGTGGACATCCTTTCTGGCTGTTGATCACCCTTCTACGAAATCATATTTAGATCGGACCTGAGAGCGGCTGGGCATTATTGCGCCGGAATTGAGTGTTGGTCTAGGTAAGACTGCGGATGAAGCTTTTACATCAAGTCGCTATCCAATCATTTTGTGGTGCATAATGATAGCGGCTACTTTTCGTTGATCGTCACTTTGATGTGTATGTACGTAGTAAGCGGCAGTCTGAACAATCGTGAAGCCCTCTTTAGCATATTCAAAATGTTTTTAACTCAACTTGTTGTGTGGTCTGTTTTCAAAATATAGAGATTCCCGTCTCAACGTCTATGATTAGATACCGGTGCTTTTTTTCAGCGAATGGATACTTAAGAGGCGAGTTCCGAAAAAGGGCCTATCCATACGACTTAAGGTAGGTACATTTACCTACTGTCTAGGGTCCTCAATCATCCATATCACTTGTCGCAATGCATTGAGAAATCGGAAAAAAATCCATGAACTGATATTGAGCAAAATAACTACCGGGATAATATTTTTCCCTTGGATTTTGGCCGCAAGTAAAGTGTGGAGTAGAAAGGTGCAGCTTCAAACTTCTGGTACGCGTCGACGTTCGAGCTTTAGGAGTACCTAGGTAAGGTGCTCGGTACGTCAAGCGGGTCGCATGAAGTAGAATGCAGCCTGAGGCCTGGTTGGCTCAGCAAGATGCCACGTCAGTCATGCAGACTGGATCTTGGAGTTGCACAGCCTTGCTCAACTTCAGGAGAGCTTTCTCTTCACTTCCCAAACGATCCCGTCCCCATCGACTTTATCTGTTGGCCTGAATGCATGTACTGTCTTTGGAAAGCTATCGGACGGCGCGTCGCGCTGAAGAGGTCCCCTCGACTCCTTTCAGTTTCTTCATTCTTGCGCTATTGACGATTTCCATTGAAACATCTCGACAGAACATCACGCTAGAAAGGCTTGCTTGGACACGCCAGTGCGATCAAGTCAAATTCTGAGGAGTATACCTTTGGTTGGATTTGCGCCATCACCATGGAGTTTATTGCCGCCCAGGCATTCCTTGACGAGAAGCATGAGGGTCCTGAAGCACTAGCTCACAATAACAACAACATCTATGCTTTAGGACGAATTGGGAAACACAATGTGGTCATGGCTGCCCTGCCAAAGTCCTCGTATGGAACCATTTCTGCCGCGGTGGTGGCACGGGATATGGTGCACAGTTTCCCGAATATCCGAATTGGCTTGATGGTGGGCGTTGGCGGCGGCGCGCCCAGCCGAAAACACGACATCCGACTAGGTGATGTCGTGGTTGGCTGTCCTAGTGATGGATAAGGCGGCAACATTCAGTACGAATACGGCAAGACGATCCAGAACCAAGCTTTCGTGGAGATAGGCCACCTAAACCAGCCACCTCAGTCTCTATTGACAGCTGTGGGGGGCCTTGAGGCAGAGTATGGCTTAGACGGTCATCGAATCAATGAGGACATCGAGAACGTGTTGAATCGGCGACCACGGCTCCATAAAACCCATTCATTGCCTATATCCAGGGCAGACAGGCTATATAAGTCTGATTTCACCCATCCACCAACTTCGTCGACAGATTGTTCCGAGACCTGTAGCACTGCTCATCTTGTTCCTCGACACGAACTTATAGATGACGAAGACAATCCTGCCATCCATTATGGCATGATTGCTTGTTCAAATCATTTCATGAAGGACGCTACGAAAAGGGACAAGCTATCCTCTGAGATAAATGTGCTCTGCTTTGAAATGGAAGCTGCTGGCTTGATGAAACATTTCCCTTGTCTGGTGATCCGTGGAATCTGCGAGAACGCGGATACGCATAAGAAGAAGGCTTGGCAACGGTTCGCAGCCATGACAGCCGCAGCATATGCCAAAGATCTTCTTTTTCAGCTTGTTCCAAGCAGGATTGAGCTTGAAACACGACGTGCGAAGGTCCTCAAGTCCGGTCAGTGGTGTATAGCCCTCTCTTGAACACCAGAACGATACTCGTGGTAGAGATTGTCATTAAAAAATACTGCCGGGATAAATAGTCGAAGAGAGACAAGAACAGCAAATCCAAACTCTTGCTGAGTCGAAAGCCGACATCAAGACGATAATGGCTGGTTAGCAAATTGAGGGCATCCGGAAGTGGCTTGATCCTCCCGATACGTCCGTCAACATTAACAACGCACGAAGTCTTCGTCATAAAGGCACATGTCGATGGATCTTTCAACTTCAAGCTCTTCAAGAATGGAATTCTGGATCACGGCAGCACCTATGGCTACATGGCCTAGCTTCATGCGGCAAAACAATCCTCAGTACTACTCTACTCGATTTTCTCTTGTCTGAAGGCGATAGAGTTGTTTTGCAAGACAAAGCCGACGGCATGTAAGTTATGTTCCAGCCTTAGCCGCGATGACAGCAGACTGGTGAAGTTACCGAGCGGCTAACACACATCACTAGGTTCAGATGGGAAGGATGCCAGCTGGACGCGCTGGAAGGTTGCCTCAATCTGGAAGAAATCGAAGAGGCCTTAAAGTCTCTTCCTAGGGACTTGAACGAAATGTATTGCCGGGTTCTCGAAAGCATCCCGAAACCCCGAAAAGACAAAACCATACTTTTTCTACAGTTTCTCCTCTATTCCGAAGAACCTCTTACCTTGACTCAGGCAGTTGATCTGCTTGCTATTCGACAGCAAGGATTCAATCCGATTTACAGAATGCCAGACCCGACAGGAATTCCTCTTTATTGTCCTAGTCTCGTGTCAGTCATTGAGGTTGATCTAGGTCCTCACGGGCAAAATCACCAAGTGATTCAGTTGGCCCACTTCTCTGTGAAGGAATTTCTACTCGGATGTCATTGGGAAGAGTTTCGTCTCATCAATGCGAGTATCAGTATGACGCACAAACTTCTAGTGTATCTCATGAGGTCTCCGAAGATTCCGTTCAACCGACCTAGTAGCGATGATCTTTACCCACAGGCGGCACAATGGACGACATACGCCCAACTAGCCGAAAGTGTAGAGAATATTGCCCAGGAAGCAGCCGAATTTTTTCAAAATGACAAGTATCTCCAGCGTTGGGTGGACACGTCGCGTCTGTTTGAGGAGGGGGGTGAAACAGATAATTACATGACCTCATCTCTTGCGATCCAAGACCTTCGCAGGACCGCCTTATCATGCGCATGTGGGTTAGGGCTCCGTGAGACTACGAAAGTTTTGATTTCTCGAGGAGTTGATCTGGAAATACCAGTCGAATGTAACATTGCTATCTCAGCATGTGCCTTGTCTGGACTTTTTGATATTGCCCAGCTTCTTTTGGACAGAGGGGTGGATATCAATGCTGTCACTGAAGGATGCAACCCTCTGCAAGTCGCAGCAGGTCAAAACAATCATCAGATGGTAAAATTCCTCCTTGCCCGCGGAGCAGATCCCAATTCGCGCGGCTTCACCAAACACCCTTGGGAAGACATATACGGACTACCCTTGAGTCAAGCTTCAACAAGAGGACAATCAGAAATGGTTAAACTGCTCTTAGGTTATGGGGCAGATGTCAACGCATCGACGACCGGAGGCACCCCCCTTCTACTAGCCGCAGCGGAGGGCCGCGACACAGTCGCGCGCCTTCCCTTGGAAGCTGGAGCAAAGGTTGATCTGTGCTCGGTTGATAATCGAAGCCCTCTTGTTGAAGCCTCCAGGCAAGGTCATACGAATGTTGTGCGTCTACTGCTAGATAATCATGCAGTGATCGATAAGCAAACTCGGTTTGGGAGCGCGCTTTTAGCAGCAACGCACAGGAGACATACTTCAGTTGTGCGGCTCTTGCTTGAGAAGGGTGCTGATTACGAAGTTGCGGACAACCTCCAACAATCCAACAGCATGGCTTTCGAAAATACTAGGTTTAAATACATGAACAGACCCAAAAACGGCGAAGACCCTCTCACTGTTGCCTCGAAACTCGGTCACATAGAGATCGCACAGCTACTTCAGAAATATCGAAAGCCTTGTAACAGGCCAGGTACGTCCTGGTCTCGAGCGTTGGCGACTGCCATTATCAGAGACCATTACCACATCATTGAAATGTTTGTGGAAGCTGGGGCGGATATAAACGCACCAGTGGAGGAGTACGGCTCGCTACTGAACCTTGCGCTGGAAAAGCGTCGCCTGAAAGTTGCCAGAATCCTGTGGCGAAATGGTGCAGATGCTAGCATACCATGTGTAGTGAAGATTGGGGACAAGACTGAGAGAATGAACGCCGTCACATTTCCCCGACATTTAGAGTTGGATGAGATAGCAGACTTGATCTCAAAAGTACCGACTTCGAGATACGGGCGAAAAAGGAGGGCGTCGAACGACTTGATGTATTAGAGGCAGGGCAGAATTCTCGCAGTCCAATCTTATTATGGGTTCTTATTCAATGACGAAGTAAGATGTGTTTCCTTTGTGCAACTTGTTGACGAGCTTGTCGGCTATGCTAGACTTTGGGATTGTATGATCCGCTTTGACGCATGGCCTTTCTTTTTAGTTATGCTCGAGTCAAATCATAGTCTAGAAATCTGTCTCAATGTTGAAATCGTACTACTCCTAGAGTGCCAGGCTGGCAAGTTGTAGGTCACTGCAGTCGAAACGTCAATTTCTTTGCGAAGAGATATGTTGCCATATGGCAACCGCGTATTACAATTATCTCAAAGCTGATCATGAACCCAGAAAGATCCAAAACTCCTGGCGTCAGAGCGCCGCGCTCCGAACCTTTCCAGCTCCCGTCTTTCCAAAATAGTCCCAAAGTCCGTCAAATCGTAAGCTAATAATACATTGTCGCACCATTGAGATCGTTGTATCTCATAGCTCAGTTGATGCCCAACATGGACGACGTTCTCCTGTCGCCAGGCTTCTCCTGAAGCTGTCTCCGGTATGAATCCAACTCCATCGTCGCCCACACAAGCGCAATCTTCCCCTTGTCGTAGCGATACATACAGTGCTGGTGGAACTTGACGCTCTTCCCGTTCGGTTTCGCGTCTGCAAACTCCTGCACCGGCGTCCCCGAGATCTGCAGTCTCACAGCAACCTGCTGCGTCTCCTCGTCGACGAGCAACTCCTGGATGTTAAACCACAGTCCCGAAATCGCTTCTTGGCTGTACTGCATGCTGCGCGCGTAATCCTGCACCGACAGAACGCGGTTGTTGTGTCGCAGCTCCTTCTTGCAGTAGCGAGGGAACTCCTTGACCATGCTACGCCGATTGATGCTCGCGACGTACTTGCGGTAGGTTGCTGCCAAATCAATGGGTTCCGCAGGAAGACTGCGCATGAAGAAGCGTGGTGTGGTCGCGGCCTCGGGTGTCTGCAGGCGGATGCCGTCGTTATCCTGCAGCGTAAGCATGCGCGAGATCTTGCCCCTGTCGTCGAACCACACGAAACACTGCTCGTCGAATTCGTACGTTGTGCCGACGGGGTCGACGTCCATCATTGCCTCGGCGAGCGTGACGCGGTTGATGTATCGCACGGCGACGGCCTGGGCCTTCTTGTCGACGAGGAGTGTGTCAATTTTGATCTTGAAGCTCGCGAGGCCCTCGACACGCGACCGAAGGCGTTCGACGTGCTCTTCGCGTGTCTGGCTGCGGTTGTTGCGCATCAGAGTGTCGGCTAGGTGGTTGCCGATAACTTCGAATTTGCGGTTGTTGAGGCAGTCGAGGTACTCGCGCAGGCGGGCACCTATGTCGACTTGAATGCCCTTGCCGTCACCGTTCCATCTCTTGGAGGAGGGGCTTCTGCTCTTGCGAATGGGAATGCTGGTGGTGTTACCGGGAGCAGCTTCTTTGACTTCTGGGACCTCGGGAGGCTTGAGCTCGGGGGACTCGGGAGGAGTGAGAAGGGTCTCGTGAGGGAAGCACGGAGCTCCGTACTCGTCCATCGTGACAGTATTCATCTTCATCATGATATCTTTCGATGGGGATGTGGTAAGGGGTTGTTGATCTGTTTAATCGACTGTGACGAGAGCATGTGTTGCCTCGAAAGAATAGCCTTTGTCGCGATTTCGATGGACGTAGATGGGTTTGATGAGATGATGGGAATGTGGAAACAGGGTAGCACTCGGGGACGAGAGGTATCGAGCTTCTCGGCGTGAATTGTACTTGTAGGAGGTGAGCTTAGGTTGTCGATCTATGCAGATCACGGATGGGAATCAGGCCAGACCACGGCGACGTAATTAGGGGGGATTAGGTAAGTAAGGTACTGTCAATATGAATGAGCAATGAAAACGATCGAGCGATGGGAATTACGGGAGCTCAGAACAAAATAGCAGTCGACGTGACCGGGCCGGGGGTGGTGTGACTGAGCAGACACACAACAGTGAGAGAGACACAGAGAGTGATGGAAACACGAGTGAGAGAAAAAAGGGCACGATGAAGATCTCGAGCTTTGCGCCACGCCTCTCGCGTGGATGACGTACAAATCCCCGCAATTCCTGACATCACCCGCATCCCTGTGGCGGCCAGCCGAACATCTCATCCCTCACCATCCCAGAACATCCCAGGACCATCCCTAACCATAAGCGGGACGCGGACCTAACCCAAACAGCCACCGCACCGCGCTAGTCCGCCAGACTATATGCTGGAAATAGCCCATGGGCCAGTCGCCAGGAGGGAAACCTCCGCTACATTCCAATCCGGCGAGCTACGCTACTCCAGGTGGCTTGGGTGGCTTTCCTGGGGCAACCGGGGGAAGAGGGGAAATGATGGTCGAGACTCTCAGATCATGCCCCAGGCTCAGAATGACATAGGGAGTGTAGTGTGATAGTGTGAGGTACGTAGTCTCCTATTGAGGTGAACCCCAACAAAAACCTGAAATTCAGTTGAATCAAAGTCCGCCTAATCATGCCCAGACCAGGACCACCATCACGTCCCATCATCCATCAGACGGATGAACGGTCCCTGCGACGGGAAGTGGAACCCTCCCATTAACTCAAACCACCCCAAAACCACCCCGGTCCTCGCCTCCCGAGCTCTCGGAATCCCGGCATCTCCCTCACAAGCTTTTCAGCAGCTGAACGGGGCCGGCCCCGGGTTAGTGTAGCTCGTCGGCGTGGGCCAGTACGGCTGGAACAGGATCCCCGGGTCCGTAGACTTGTACGCTCCAGGGAACGACACGAGGCCCGACGGGCTGGTGCTCCCGCCCCCGGACACGGAAACCTGCGCGCATGCGAGGTAGAACTGCGCTCCGCCCTCCGTGGCGGCGCCATGGAGCGCCAGGTGCTCGACGCGGACGAGGTACTCGCCTGATGGGATGCACGCCGGAATCTTGGTGGAGAGGATCTGGGTGTCTGTGACGTTATTCATCGTTAGCTTTTGCTCGTCCACCTCATGAGAAACCCCCTACGAGCCCACAAAACACTGAATCAGCCCTATGCGAAGGAAATCTGTTGCGGGCACGCGATTCACACTCTCCACTAAAGTGAGAGGGCCCCTTTTCTTTTGAAACCCGCAGAAAGCTTTTTTAGTCTCTGCATTTCTCCTCTTTTCTGCCCTGTTTCCCCCATTTCCAACATTTCCTTCACTACTCTCCGAGCCTCTTCTCCGTCATATTATTCTGGAGACAACAAAAAAGAAGGCAGAAAATTGGAAACAACTCACTGGTAGAAGCCCACTCCAACCCACTGCTCGTAATAGTCGGCCTCTCGTGGTAGATCTTGAACCACACCGCCCCGCTGCCGTCCCACGTCGCCGCTGTCTGACCGGTCGGCACCTTGGCCATGTAGAAGCTCGCCGGTCCCGGGTGTCCCACGACCCCGTTGGCCGCGAACCCGATCGTTGAGCCTGCCGATACCGGCAGCGTAGTCACCGTGCCGCGGTCAGCGGCGTCTGCTTCGTAGCAACGGATTTGTGTCGACGACACACCGTCGGCCGGCCCGTTGGTGTAGAAGTTGAGCGTCTTGCGCACGTGTTGCCATTCGGGGTAGGTTGTGCCACCGTAGACGAGGCGACCGAAGGTGTCTAAGTTCAAATAAGTTAGAGCTATCTTGTATTTTATGTGCAGCGCCGGCTTTATGGTTTCTGTGAGATACGTATGATTGACAGCCAGACTTACAGTGGGCCTCGGCAGAGGCGGCTGCCACAGCGAGAAGAGCGATTGGCGAGAACTTCATTTTGCTGCTGTGATGGCGACTTCTAAACGTATGACTTCTCCAAACTCTTAGCATTCTGGAATCCATTCTTCTCGATCAACCTCGGCCGGCCGACCGACCAACTCTTAAATAAAGCTGCCATCTCAGTCACTTCCATATCACTACTCTCGATGCTCACATGGCGTGTGCGGGCGGTCGCTTTCTCAGCAATCACGAACGCTTAGAAGGAACTTCCAAGAGCTTCTTAATATCGTAAAAGTCTTTCCGGCCACTGGCGAAATCTACGGGGCTATGTTCCACGAATCTTCTGTCTTCGGGGTCGCGACCGGAGCGAGGCCTCCGAGAGAAGGTCACAACACGATCCTGGCGCTGCCCTTAGTTGCTACCCGCCAAGATCCAGTGAACTACTGCCTGTCCAATGGGTCCGGGTTAAACATATTGAACCTAATTAAAACTAGACCCAAGTCTGGAAATGGTTTCTTTCGCTTGTCTGGGGTTTGCACTTTCTTCCTTCAATCGATATTCGAGCTGCTCTGATGACAGGTATTCTAGCATCCATAACACAGGCGGATAGTATTCATATTCTCACGGAGATCAATGGATCTATAATCTCCGTCTTTTATATGTAAGGTCACTGCGATGAACAGCAGCACACGTGTAGTATTTTGCGTTCTGTTTTGGTCGGTCTGAGAAAGGCGGACGAGTTTAATGGGCAAGCCTACCAGTACTCAAGATAGCGTTGGGCAGCTATCCTCAACTTTGACATTATGGAAGAGTCGTTTGAGAGATCAATCCTAGACTCCAGTCGTATAGCAGAGATCACATTGCTGCATAAATGCGGAGTATATTGGCACTGATATATAACAGAAAACCCGGTCTGACATAGGATCCCACATCGCCCATTTCAAGCAGTGTCTACCTCAGATCTGCGTCCACCTAAGAGTCCAATTCGGATTTCAGGCTGGTGTCAGCCCATATCATGTCTTGCATGGCTTAGCAGCTGAAGCTGTTCCTGATGCGGCAGATCTCGTCGCAGTTGACGTTATCGGCATAGGGGCCCTTGCAATCACACTGATTGGCGGGCAAAACATTGCAGCAGCAGTCCTGGATCATAGGTTAGCACTTTGTTCACACTAGATATTTCACAGCGAAACGTTTGTTGCAAAATGACTTGGACATACCTTCGCAGCTACGCCGCTGATGATGGCGAACGCAGTGACAAAGATAGTGAACTTCATTTTGAATGGTTAAAATTGAAAATGATGATCTTGTTGTTGATTTGCTGGGTGATTTGATGTTTCAAATGGCTTAGACAATGTGAATCGATTGTGGTGGTTGAGAAGTTCTTTCTCCTACCTTTTGTTAGTCGAAGGAAAAGTGATGTTTTATACAAATTCCTAGGAGAACTATCATCAACTCTTATTGCTTTTAGATCTCGAGAGAAGCCTAACTGTCACTGACAGCAACTGCCTCGGGACGGAGCTGGGATGTGACACGAGTCGTGTTGCAGGTATTTGTGGACGAGTTGCACTGCGAACCCATGACAACGTAAAATGAACTGGCCTTGAATAATAATCAAGTTTTCAACATTACTTATCGGCCCTCGTGAGCTTCTTGGCTCTAAAACTCCACGAAGTGAGAGTGGACCTCGCATCCTGACTCAGTTCCAGTCACAACTATATTCTAACTGTTACTATATCCACAAAAGCCGGCGGAAATTCGTTCTGAGCATAGTCCGTCGGCTTAATACAAGAACATCGACGTAATCAGCCCGATGTCAGACTTGCAAGATTCCTGCACGGGTCGTATCCCGATGGCTACCAATGGAGTGTCTCGACGGTGTACGAAGTCAGGACTCTGCGTTCATCCGGTTTTACTCCGTCCATCATGCAAGGTACACAGACATCTCTAAATCCGTACTGTCTAAGCAATGCACGTGCTTCTTGTAAAGAAAAATGGTTCATATTATTCCTTAACATTAGAGTTGTGAATGTGCGACCGAAATTGTTTCCTACCGATTCTGCATCCGGATAGAACTCTTCTCTATTCGACTTTCTCTCCTTTGCAAGAAGTTGCTCGTAATGAGCTATCTTCTCTCAGTTTTAACACGTGGTAGATTAGAAGGTTCTAAACAGACACTTCCTCGGTCTGCAATTTGGTTTACAACAGAGTACTAGTAAGTAGTCATGGGTGACAAGTTTGGCTCTACATACGGAAGAAGGATGGGAGACGAAAGTGTGGTGTGAAGGAATTGCATCTCAATCTAATGAGATGCCGCATCATTGAGACGATCACGTGGAATACTAGATTGGGAGATTTCCAAAATGACCCCATGGCTGGGGTACTACTAGAGGTCATTACAACGATTCGTCATTGTTCCCCAGTTCATGTCATGTTCACTCAATGTCATTACTTCAAAGCATTATCCAAAAAGGTATCCGCTGTCCGCGTGCGACTTGCATTTATCTCTGCTTGGTCTTGAAAATCTCTTGTAGCACCTTCCATCGATTACTTAATCCGTTCATCAACTGACTTCGCCTCACCGTTTAGGGCTCGAAGACTCCGGTCTTAGTATCCATACTAAAGCGCTTTTACGATGAGTATAACTAAGTAGATAGTTACTCGGGTGTGTTGAGATGAGGCTTAGTGTTGATGATTGTTTCTTGGACAGGGCAGTTGAATCGAGTTGCAATGATCTTCTACGTTTTGTGCCTTTACAACATCTCAGCGGAACATGCTTACCCAAGTGCATATAGCATGCGGCGGAAAGACTCGGCATTTGCCTTTGAGCTTGCTTCAACATTTAAAAGAGACTTCAGATTCATCATATGCGCCTTGACCAGCTTTCTTTACGGTGTCATGACGAGGCAGAAACTGCTGGGCATTGCACCATGAACTACGGAAGACTTGATCAATGATTGTCTCGCCCCAGCCTGCCTAATGCACGCCAACCTAGCCGTGTGGATGTACCCCAATTGCCCAAGTACACTGATGTTTGGGAATGGAATCGCGAAATTCCCAGTGACCCGTACAATATCCCAATCTCTGTGACCTAGAATATATCACGAGAGGTGTGCTCCCATGAAGGCCAAATCCTCGCCTACGTGCTCATTCGTGCCACTCTTCTTGGCCTTCCTATAGCCAGCCTTGTTGTTTTTCGTAGTCTTCGACTTCGATCTGGATGACGAACCGCAGCGGGCGGTCGTGCTCGATGTCTCTTCGTCCACGGAGAAAGGAGGGGCGGGTCTGCGAAGTGAAAATTTAGAGATGAGGATGGAATGGCAAAACAAACATTGGCTACTGGAGACGAAAACTTACGCGGGCTGGTTATTTTTGCGTGAAGATCCCATAATTACGTGTAGATTGCGTTTGTGAATCGGATCACTAGGTAGATGGAATGGCTGGGATAGGAGGAGTAGGAGGTAATTGCTGATACGCTCTGAAATTCGCAAATTGAATAGTGTATTCAAGAGTCGATCAGTGAGGCTATGTGGAGAGAGAGCGGGCTGATGTCAAACATAGAAAGACAAGAGAATCCGAGGGTTTGAACGAGGTATTTATCATTCTAGAAGCCTCCCAGTCAACGTTGATCAGTTTGACCTACATACAGGCTCGGACACTGCCGCCCTACAAAGCTTCGCCCTCTACCTCCCACATCAGGCAAACATATCAATGGTGAAGCAACACAGTAAAGCCGGGCATAGGTAGACAGCCCAGATCTGCATCCGTCAGTTGAAGTTCACCAGCTCAAGGTGCGATGTAGTCTCCATTTTTCCCACCGAGATTGAACGTCATTGGCCATTCCCCTTTTGTAAGTCTCACTATAACATCGCAGCCAGGCCTAGGGGTCAATACGGGACGGGTGAGCAGAACCTTGCGTGTCACAGTCGTCATGAAGGCACGGCGAGTGATGCACTGACATCTAGAAACCCTGGCATCCTATTGGATCCTCACCTTTTGCGCATGGTAGACGTTGGAGGGAACGGCTTCCGGCCACCTGCAGAAACTACACTAGTGTCACTTTTCAAGATGGGTCAATCAACCGGTCTGGGCGAGATGAGTGGTGACATTTTCATTGGTCAGTTGCCTTTTGTTCTGTCGAGTTATTCGCTGGCAGGGAATGACAAGGCGGGGCGTCGGAAGAGCTCAAATGGGCGGGGGACCGAGAAAGGGGCAGCATGACAGCTAAGCATACGACAGAGCCTCCTTGGAAGTATCTACAACTGCCAGCCAAACATGCAGATGAGTGGAGATTTGGCTGTCGTTGCGCAGAACGATTGGCCTCTCTCTTTTTGTATTGCCATTCATTGGATGTATCTTGGGGCTTGGCCACGGCCGCTACGACAGTGAGGCGTCAGCTGTGAAGACTTGATTGGTGAGTCGCCTTTTGTGAGTTACACATACAAGGAACGTGGGATGAAGGGCTGCTTCAGCTGCATACCGTCATTCTCTGAAATAAGGCATCGGTTGCCTTAAGCCCCAAAGCAACCACCACGAGGTCGATGGAATAAGACCGTATGGGTCCGCCTCCTTGGAAGCGTTTTGATTCCTTCCTTCCTTCCATAACAATTTCGGTCAATGCCCAACGCTCCCGTCCATCAATTTTGGCCTTCATATATCAATTCGTTGGGTGGTTCCCCCAAACAGGTTTTCAAGTCCATCTTGAGTTACTGAATCTGCACCTGGAGTCTATTCGATTTCTACCTTGACGGGCCAAACATCACTGCTGCCTCGATTTTCCGTGGCGTAGTAATGGACGCCCCGAGAACCTTTGGCCCGCCCCGGCAGGCTACGTTCCATGACATTCCTTATGAGAAACGATGGGACCATCTCAAGGACATAATCGCCAAGGCCTTTTTGGGAGACACTACAAGCAGCCCACTCACATTCCCGAAACTTTCCGAATTCATGAAGAAGCACCATGGCTTTGATGCATCGTTGGTCAACCTTTCTCCCGAGAATAGCATAAGCATAACCTTGTCATCCTGTCATCTGACGTATGCCGCAAATAGGCCCGCTCAGTATCGCTATCGTCTCGGCCAGTGGGACATCCGAAAAAACACGAAGAAGGTAGAGAAGACCGCAGCGATTACCGCCCTCGGGAAGCGCAATCGTGTCAGAGGCAGCACCTCGGATGTGAAGATCCGACAAGGGGAGTCGATGATGCCCATGGACAGCAAACAGGTGAAGCGGTTCATCAATGACAGTATTCGTCACCACTCTGTCCCGCCATTGACCCCTGGCATGTAAGCTATCATCCCCACCACCACTTCAATAGATCAGAGTCTAACCAGATGGATTCCAAGAGTCTCTCAGTGGAACCTGCCATACATCGCGTACCGTGCCTCGCTCGGGAGGCAAGACGATCAAGCGTCTCCGTTCAACTGCAATCCACCGACCCCGCAATATCTCCAAATCAACAGCCCCGAGGCATCTGCTGGCCAAGCTTTGGACATGTCTCCTGGTGTTGCTCTGATTCGGAGGAAGACCATGCTGGATCGGTCAAGCCTGCTTCTACAAGGACGTAGAGAAGAGTTGTTGAGTGGATGTAATGTCAATGACAGAAGGTATAGATTTCCTGCCAATGGTTTTACTGGTTCATAATGCTAATTACTTTACAGAACACTCTCAGACTGGCTGCATGACTACTGGATGTACTGCTTCGTGACGGCCAAGTTTTGGGGAACCGGCCCTCAAGAATGGACAGCTGGAATGGTCTCGGAGTTTACATTTGGTGCAGCCACCAATGGAACGCCTCAGAACTCCCGCTCGCCCCCCGCACGGATTTCTGGACAATCTTCATCGGGGTCCCGGCTCGCCGAAGCCCCACGACCAACACAGCTATGTCACTGGGCCATTCACCATAGAGATACAGTTCATTACGAGTCTTTACCGTCTTCTCCACGTGTAGAACAAGCGAGTTTTGATCCCGGTGATCAATCGTCTTGGACTGCGTGGACGGATTCTCAGAGATCCCAGTCTTATCAAAACTCCATTCATGAAGCCTTTATCCACAACCGATTCAGTACAACTGCTCCCGAGGAGGTTCCGATCGCCTGTGAAGTCGTTTCAGAGGTCATTTCGACATCTAACATGCCTTTGGCATTGGACTCGTTGGCATTTGCCATTATGGCTGGCAACGTAGAACTCATCTCAAAAACTCTTTGCGAAATGCAGCATTCAGCCATGACTGAGAGATTGGACCTCACGGGTATCCACCCATACCATCTTGCGGCATCCTTTCTAGATGGAGGAAGAACCTGTTGCCTCATGCTCAGTGAACTCACTTGGGCATTTCCAGACTACCATTATCCCATCGCTCTCAACAACGTGGACTCCAACGAACATACTGTGTTAGACTGTCTTATGATTTCAGTCCTGCGTTCCCACACAAATCTTTCACCCCCAGAGGTCAGCACAAGCTTCGTCCGATGCACTCGCTTTCCGGGCGAAGAGAAGGATATTTGTGGGCGGTGGAACGCCAATTCACCAGAACTACGACAGCTCTATCAATCTGGACAAGTGAAACTTCCGGACTTTTGAAAGCACAATTTTTGTCATAGCTCTGTACAGGCCGTGTGCCACAGCATGATGGCAATCTTTTTGCGCCCGTCAAGGCCAAACATCAACACTGTCAGCGGCCTCTTTCGACGACGTTGCACCAGCTGCGGGCTTGAGATGAAACTAGGCCCGCTGCATACTCTTGTGGCTGTCGCTTTCCATTTGGCAGAGAATGGAAAGAGTGGAGAAACGCTCTTTGGGGCACTGGCTTGTCTAGTCTGTCTCCTTGTACTAGGAGCTGACCCCACTCAAGTTGCAGACTTGTCAGTCCTCGACATATTCTCGTCTCCTGATGAAGGATTGTGTCTCCATAGACCCATGACTGCCTTAGAACTGGCGGACCAAGTTCCCAGAGCAGTAAGTGAAGGTTGGGGGGCTTCTTCTAAGCTTGGCTGGAGATGCCTCTTGTTGGTTTTGCGCCACACAACTCCGTCCCCGCAGCAAGACGAGCCGTTCACGAAGTTCAGCTTCAAGTCGAATCTATGTTGTCAACTCTACGACGATGAAGACAGAGACGAGATATTAGATGAGAGAGACAGCAGCTCGAAGCATGATGAGCGGGATGAGTGCCCGCTGTCTTACGCACATACTTACCTTGACCTGCCCTCTGGTAACCGGAATCTTGGCGTTCTCTGGGCGGCAGTTCAGACAGAGCTTCTCACTTACCGAAAGGTCAATCTTATCGATACAGCCATCTCAGATCACTTTCAACTACCTTCTCTTTTAAGGTGGCTGGAACAGGAATCTGACACCTTCGAGACGCCTCTACTCATGGACGGCATGATGAAGTCTCACGCGCCATGTGGGTGGTTTAGTGGAGACGGCAATAACGTCGCGGTCACAGCACCTGATGTGTGTTCAGAATACTTCATGAACATGGATATCTGGTCCCGGGCCTCTTTCATTGAAGAGATGATTATTGAGTGAGGGCATGTCTTGACACAGGGCTCTTCTACAGGAATGCTTCAACTACAATACATGCCACAGACCCGATTCCCTTCGAAATCAGTTCAGATACGTATAAACCCTTGAGGATGATCACCGTGGTTCTAGTGTATGACTGTATCGAATTGGATAGCCCATGCCTGCAAAAGTCGCACCGCAACCAACACTCATGTCTCGCAGCCATGTCGAGAAGTGGCCTACGCCAGCTTTATCTGAGGTACTTATAAATGTGTTCTCTTGGTTACTTCATAGCCTGCCGGGGACGCTTCAGAGGATTTATGACGGCTGTTTGTCCCTTTGGACTGCAATTTGGGCAATAACTATGATTGGGCGAGTAACATTGTCTCGCAAGGGAAGAGAACGACTCATACTGTTCCGTTTTTCACAAATCACGTGCAGATTCCGAGTAGTTCATCATATTACACATCAAGAGGCCCAGATTATCTACCAAACAATGCATCATACAATCCCATGCCAGGTTCCCGTGCACCTTTGCTAACTATGATTGCGGTAGTCCTTCATCCTCTCAATCTCCCGCGCTGCTTGATACAGGCAATAAACCGAGTAGCGCTGATTTGCCTGGATGTAGCGTGGCGTAAGCGCGATAACTTGTGTCTCCAACTGATTGACCTCCAATGAATCGCTGGCTCTCGTGGCCGATCCTATGTTCACCTCAGCTTCGGCACCTGTCCCTACTCCGGCAAGTGCAGGAGCACTTGCGCTCGTGCTGGCACTGCTCTTTGGCTGTATGGCAAGACCAGCATACGTTGCTCTGTGTCTGTGTCAATCTTTGTACCCGAAAGGTCCTAGGAAAGCCAGGTAACTCATCGCATTGATCACCCGATCCAGACTCTTGATACCAGGAATGATGTGCCCCAAAAGCAGAGTGCCGGAAGTTTTCCGGTTTGTCTTATCTGTTATCAGTTGAGAGCCCAGCCCTCGTGAGGCCATGTAGGGTCATTACAGTACATAGAATCTAAGCTGAAGAGAAGAGATTTGGAGCGGGGTTTCCGCGAAGGAGAAAAGCTCGAATAGAACCTCCGCGGAAGCGGTGTGGTAAGTCGTGACAGAATCTGGGCTTCAGCCTTGGTCCACTAATCGGGTCCAGCCCGTAATATCATCCATTTAAACGGGCGCAGCATGGTGGGTTGGCCCAAGACAGACCAGTCTTTCGTTATTTTCGGGTTAGTGCTCAAATCTGGCTCGGTATACAAGAAATGGCTTTCCTCGTCGAGTCCTTTAACACAGGGAAGGTTGGTAATTAATGGCCTTGATAATGGAGGGTGGCGAAAAAGGGCGTCCGACAGAAAGAGCAATTGCATGAGAGAGGTGGAAATGACACATGAGGGGAGGGCTGCCTCAGCCGGATGGTCTATGCATCCATCAGACGGGCAAGTGCTATTCTTTAAGTTGATAAAGGCTCCTCGATGGTTGGAATTCCGTTTTAACTGCGCCTTAAATCTCGAGTAATACGTCAGGCGTACATACATGTGAGCAGAAACCATTGGAATCTGGCACGCTAGGTTACGAAGGAGCTGGGTCGAGTCGTCATTCGACAACAGTTCTGCAAACCACTAGCATTTTCGTTCAGATTGCTGGACCGCGAAGCTGCTGCATCGCATAAATACAACAACGAAAGGTTGGTTACTGATGCGCAGTTGCCAAGCCTACCTTCATGTACTTTGAGTAACATAACATGTAGCTTTCGATCATTGCTTTCACACATGTCGCTCAACCGGGCCTTCTGAGAAAAGCACGGATGAGTACAGTCCCAGCCATGAGCAAGAACCATGGATATTCTCGGAAACACATCCTATATGTCACTTCGTGTCCAATTGATTAAGTAGGAGATATTAGCACAGAAAGCAGGAAAACCTAAGTAGATGAGGCGAACATGAAGTAAGGCGAACAAGAAGACGGGGACGATGGAGATATAAGACATGGCCTTCGAAAACATCGCATCATTATATGTACAAAAGCACCTGAACCACTTGACGGGATGATTGAGAAACACAAGAAAGTAACATCAGCAACAGCTTAAAATCTCTTCCTCACTCAGTGGTCTTCTTGCGTATAGACGATAGTTATTTGACCTCATCTGTCGTAGTATGCATCAAGCATTAGTAAAGTTTTGCGACAGACTCATACGAAAGCTGGGCTGCTGGAGGCTGTCTTCTGACACATACATGCAGTTGGTAGTCGTTGCCAAATCGATCTTTCAAGAGTTTCTGGAGCTTCCTCTTATTGATAAACCGCCCGGATATCTCTTGTTTCTTGTGACTGTGACTGTATGCTGACGATGAAGTCGCCGTTGATGAGAAGCCAGTGCTTTGTCGAGTGCACGGTTGAGAGTTGCTGAAAGTGTGATTACGAGGGTAAGTCTGTTTTGGGGAGGTGGAAAATAAGGCGGTGAGGTAGTTCATCATTGGAAAGAGGGGAAATCGTTGGTTTGAAGAATCACCGAAATCGAGTCTTGATTGATATGCTCAGAGATATCGTGAGGTCATTGAGGAAAACACAATGAGGATGCTTCACGGGATTTGGGACGGCTGCAGGCCCTCTTGAAGTAAGAAGTACAAGCTGATTTCCCCGTAGAGCACCTATACGTACATGTAAGACTGACTTCTCCTGAGCGAGTAATATCGTCTTGCAAGGGAGAAGAAAGACCTCTCATATTTCGGTTCCCCCCTTTCATTACGGGTAGATGCCGAGCAGCCCATCAAATTGCACCTTAACAATTCCAGCATCTGCTGCATTCTTGCGTTGTTGCACTACACCATACCTTCGTTCAGTGGCTGATCATTTAAGCGCACGGTCCGCTGGCGCGGGGTATTGCCGATCGACAGTGACATTGTTCAGTATGCCTGGCTGTCTGCCTACTTGCTATCGGGCAGAAACATGGCTTGGATGGTAGTGGTGTGGTGCAGCAGGCTGAGGGCTCGGCGGTCACGGTGTGGATGGTCCAGTGTAATACGCATG